CCATGGTTGTTCAACAGAGGGCGCCTCCTTGCAAATTAACACCTATAGCAACATTATGGACATCGAAACATCCAAACGAAGGTGATTGCATTTCCTTTTTTGACATCATCACAGTTCCCCATCCCCTCTCCCAGATGATCTCATACTATCTCATACTTACTTGTTTCCTTTGACGATAGCAGCACATTCAAGACAGAAGGTATGTTCTAGTGAGCTTATTTGATTGACCATCTGTGATTGCTGTCTGAAAAAACGGGACGTCACCTAGATGTCCCGGGTGGAAAAGAAGCTGGGGGTGCTAGACAGCCAAGTTTATGGCATAGCTATTTGCTACCTACTAGCTTCTTGCTCCTAGTAGTAAGGCCAGGAGCCCCTAGTAGCGTCCTTGCTCCTAGTAGCGATGCCAGGAGCCCCTACTAGCTTCTTGCTCCTAGGAGTAAGGCCAGGAGCCCCTAGTAGCATCCTTGCTCCTAGTAGCGATGCCAGGAGCCCCTACTAGCTTCTGGCTAGTAGGAATGGCCTTCAACCTACTTGCCATGGCCTCCACCTACAGTAATAGCGCCACTGCTAGACACAACATGTGTAAGACTCAAGGCATTCAGCTCGTGTTTGTTGGGTGTCATGTGGGTCATGGACGCTCATGGACGGTCAACTCTCTGTGTGAAATGGATCTGTGAAGCAGCAAAGCTAGTACCTGGATTAACTCATGAATGTTTCTCACGTGAGAAAATGTCATTATTCAATCCCATTTCTTCCCTTCTGCAAAGAAGTCGACTTTCCATTCTTTCCCTTCTGCACGTCGATTTCCCATCAAACCGAGACGTTGAACAGGACGGGTCACTGGGGGCTTTGGCCGTCGAACTCGTCACCTCAAGAGATGGAGCGAACCCCTCTCGATGTCTGCGGTGTTGGGTTTCCTTCAAGTTGCTGCTCCCGGTGGCAGAAGCGTTGAAGCCAAAAATCTGAGGATCTTTTTGACGTTGCTGGGCACACGAAAGAAGAAGACACCCGAAAAAGGAACGGGACTTCGCAAGACCCCTCGAATCCCGTGTCCGTCTGGGCGTGGGGTTGAACTGGACACCGGGCGTCGGGGTGGAGCCTATGAAGCGCTGTGGACGTTTATGGGTAAAGCCTGTGCCATCCATGGCCTCAATCGAACCCCGTACCTTAGGGGACCAAATCGACGGTGCTTTTAGCTGCTTTTGAGGGGTTCATGTCGGACACGTCCGATCCCCCAACAGCCTCTGGGGTTTTGACTCCCTTTGGGTTGGGTTGGCCAATAAGGTACTGTGGTTTTAAGAGTCCTTGTCGGGTGGAAGACATGCCTTAGGGAGCTTCGGCTCAGAATCAGATGAAGCAGGGGTCTTTGTTTTCCTCTTCCAAAGTGGCCTATCGGAGGGTCTCTTGATCGAAACACCAACCATGAGGAACTCCCACGAGGATCAACGGGCAGAACCAGAAAACACCACAGGAACCCGACCGCACCGATCATCTTGGGAATGCCGCCCTCCCAAAAACCGCAGAAACCGCATCAGACGCTCACCTTCTTCGCAAGCGACGAACCGACGAACGACATCGACGCGCGGAAGACGAACGACCTGGCGGTCGAAGGGTCGATTCCGTGCGTTTGTCTAAGTCCACTGGGTTTGCGCAGCGGGCCTTGAAGAAGAAGCTAACAGCGCCGTAGTCACGTAGTCACGCGAGCATGGCAGTCCGTGAAAAACGGTGTGCGGGGCTTCGAACGTCCTCCGGTCGCTGGCCGAGCAAGTTGGTGTTCTGGGTGCAGGATATGAGGAATTGATGAGGTATGTTCGCTACAGCATCACCCCTGAACTCAACCGAGTGGGTCTGACAACCAAGGTATAAATATGTTGTTTCGTTCATCTGTGAAACATCATTTTTCGATGTGTTTGGCCTTGAAACACTTTGAGCGTTGGAAGGCAAACTGAAGTGAGCTCCCTTTTCCAACATCATGAAGCATCCAGTGAGATGGCATAGTATGGCATAGTGGTTTGGGGGGTTGTGGTTGGTGTCTTCTGGGCGTTGGATTAGATGTGTTTTGATGCTTGTCCCTTTTTCTTCCGCAACTGGAAGACTCCACACACACATGTCTTGAATTCAAAAGAAGTGCACTTCCTGGAGTCATTGTGACGTAGATGACATGGTCCCCCGACGTCTCGGTTCTGACCATGAGGACCTCAAATAGGTGGTTTGCACTCAAAGAGACAACGTCACCCTGGTCGAATGATGCATGAACAAGGGAGTGTATCCCCAAAATCAACCCACCGCGTGATCACCGGAGGCTGTTTTGGTCTTGTTACTGGAGGCTGAAGCTCTGCTAGCGCAAGAAGCTCTGCAGATGACAGTGTTAATGATGTCCCTCTAAGATGCTTGGGACCAAGGGTGGCTCGTTTGCTCGAGTTGCTGACGTCAAGGAGTTTGTAAATGAAGAACGTGCAGAATGTCGTGGAACCAGCAAAGAAGACTTCTTGCCGCTTGAAGAGTTGTCTATACCTAAAGACAGTCCTAAAGACCACTACAAGCTTAAGTTTTCCTTAACATCTAGGAACCAAATGAATAGTGCGAGCGCTTCTTCAAGGAAGCGTGAGCTATCTTGTGTCCATACAAGTAGCTTAAGTAAGGTACTAGCTACCTCTCCCTTACTAAGTAGGCGCCTATGCAACAAAGTAGGGAGGGAGGGGGCTGCAAAAGAAACGCGCGCGATTTCTCTTGGATAGCCCAGCCCTCGCTTGGGATGAGAGAAAACGGCGTTTTTCGTGGGTCGTCGTGGGTCTTTTTGGGGTCCTGGGGAGCGACGTACGGTCACCGACGTAGCGTCCGATCGCTCCGTTGCGTTGGAGTCGCGATGCCCTTTGTTCCGTTCGTAGATTCTTGTTCGTAGTATGGCCTCCAACCTAGCGATGGCCTCCACCTAGTAGCTTACCAGTAGCTTCTTATTTGGATTGAAAAGCCGTCTTCATATGGGGGGTTTCTTCAAGAGTCTTCATTTCGTAGGTTCAAGCTAATTACATTTCGCTGATATGCTGACATAGCTGCTTCTTTGCCCCACAGGTTCATGCTAAGCAACTCCCCGGCCAGTTGACCTATCTCATGTCAGTTGACAGTTTGAAGACTGCGCTGCCAAGCCTTAAGCTCCCTTCATGGGCAAAAGAAAAACCACCGAAGAAGCTACGAAGAGAGATGATATTTCGAAACAACGAGCTGAACATGTTGTCTTCAAACAATGAACACCCAGTGTTCCTCTCAGTTCATCTCAGTTACGCCGACCTGTCCTCGCTTGGAATCCGCGTATGCGCTCGGATTCGGACTCAGCCGAGCGGAGCCCATCCCTGACAGAGCACTTCGTTGAACCCGGGAGGGGCTGATTCCCTCGTTCCGTTTCGAACTCCAGCCGTTCCGGTTTTGGAACACGGACGGACGGGTTTGAGCAGATTCGCTAGACAGACACAGACTACTCAGGAGGCAAGCGCTAAGCGCCCGGGCGTGGACTGAGTTAGAATCAGGCTTCACCCAATTCTACTGGTTGATCGCTTTGCCATGATTTCATTTGATTGTTGTTTGTTCAGAGAGGCAAACTACATGCATCGACTATTCGGAATGCTAAACAGTTGGTTCATCAGTATCACTTGCAAAGGAAAGAACAAAGTGAACTGCTAGATGCAGTGACGCTACAACATGGTGTACAAAAAGGATGTATTGCTACATCACTGCTCGTTGGAGAGTGTCAATTGGAGCATCCGCAAGGACGGATTGAGGCGACCATCCTCCATCCTCTTTTCTAGACTCTTTGAGACATGCGGGCGGGGTTTTGGGATAGAAAGCGAGCAGAACCACCGGATTGATCATTTTTTTAAAACATATATTGTGGTCGGAATCAGATCTCTCAAATGATGACGTGTTTGAAGCGCTGATCTCACAGAGAAAGCTGCACCAGAGCTGACTCCTGACTGGAAACAGGTGAGACCGTTTGATGAAGAACAAAGGGACGGTGGTGTGGTGGTCTCCTTCTGCAAGTCTCTTTGTTGATATATATATATAGGTCTCATTGCGCAAACACGATATGGTGCAGACACTAGAGAGAAACTATCATGAAACTATGCATCACGGTGCCCTTACTGAATGGAACTGATAGTCCATTTGAGGGGGATCCTGTCTTGTGTTTTGTTTTCTAGGAACGGTAGTTTCTTGGTTTTGCACTCGCATATATATATATATATGGAAGGTACCTGCCAAGGGATCATTCTGGGAACTTAGCCAGGCCGTGAATTGATTCTCACATCCAAGTCCAATAGGTTGGCCATCGCTATGTAAATGATACTGGTTTCAAAGTGGCTTATGTGCTTCTTATAGTCTGCAAAAAGGGCTTGAGTACGAATAGTTCCAACTTCGGATCATCGCAGCCACATCTGCTGGGATCAGTCTTATCTCTTTGTGCGCATGTTTTCCTTCGGCTGAAGATACTCTTGGGCCGGGCGAAAAAAGTGCTCAACAGGGGGACATGTCACTTGGGCAGTCCAACCATGATCGGTCAAAGACTTTTTGGAAGGACACCAACAAGACGATTTGTTTCTGATGAATTATGCAAAAGTTGAGCGAACAAACCATTAAATGGAATCCAAACAGGACAAAGAACGCGTCCTCGTTTTCGTTTCTTAGTAGCAGGGTGCTAAAGGAAGCCTCCTGGAGATAATATCCCTGACAAAGCCAAGAGAGCACACGACGCGCCCATGACAGACCCCGGCTGCGAAGATGGCTCTTCCCGCATTTGCTTGGGGAAACGTTGAGATCATTCCCTCTCAGTGCAGTTCTTTCAAGAAAACTAAGCAGAACAATAAAGCTGTATCTTCACGAGACAAGACAATCGAACCGTGACACCGTGACCCAACATGTTGGGAAGGCCCCCCGCAATAACTCCTCGACCACGCGAAGCGGCCTCGCCACAACTCCTCTACGTCGGCCTGTGAACGCCACTCGCCAGGATGGTGTGGTGCTTCGCTATCGGATGTTCCTGGGCGTCTTCGGGGTCGGAAGCATCGGATGCGGCCAGGTAACAAGAGGAGTCTGAAAGACATGTGTTTTGGTGTGAGCCCGTATTGTTCAATTGTGGCTCTTGGCTCTTGCAACAGACATGTACAGGAAAAGGGTTAGCTGTGCAGCTACTAGCCACTGTTATTTCAACAGACCTGGACAATTGGATGTGATAAAGCTTCCATTGCCAGGCAAATACTGTTTGATGGAATGGACGGCTTTTGGGATGAATGAGAAATTAATATACTCTTTATACGTATGACTCAGACTCAGGAGGGTAAACCACGAACGAACCCTGTTCTTAGGCCAGCAGCTGGAGGACATTCTGCTTGGGGTGAGCATATCTGGGAGATGTTGTCTTTCAAAGCTGTTGGACACATTGCGTGCAAGCCAAGTTTGGTCAAACTCCAGCCTCTCCGGAGTTCGGGGACAACGAATCAACGAACAGCCTCCAGTGTACCCAACGCATCGTGTGCAAATAGAGGGTCGGTGTTCTTTGGGTCTCAGAAGCCCCATGATGATGTTTTGATACTGGTCTTCCAGCTCCGAAAATCCAAGCAGTTGGTTGCTACGCGTGGTCAGAAGCCCGCACCTTGGTATCAACGTCCACTCCTCTCGGCTGAGGTATGCCGGCATCACCAGCCCCTACCTGAATCGGGGTGGTCTTCAAAAGAAGCCACGAGCTCGGTCGTTCGTGTGTAGTTGACGGTCGTTTTGGTGGTCAACTGACCATGGTGCCATCATCATGATCGTCATCATGAGGATGAAAAAGACAGGTATTCCCAACTGATATGTATGTCCACTCTGCTTTGGTAGAAGACCTCAACAACAAACGACATGAACCGTAGAACGCTGGTTCCATTCGATCCCAGCGCCTTGCGTGAGACGATATCGATGCCACAAGAGATCTCCAGCTGACCAAGGAGATGTTCAGTTTGTTCATCTTTTTTGAAGGAACAAGATCTACTTACTCCGGAAAAAGACACGAAAAGATACAAAAAGCACATCATTCATCGACACAAAAAGCACACGCGCTCAGGTTCGAGGCCCGCGGTGAGCGCATCTCCGCGGAGCTCAGGAGCGAGGCACGGAAGAAGGAGGCGCCGGTGCGGACGATGCAGACGGTGACGGTCGACACGGTCGATTCGGCGGAATCCACCGGGGTGGAACAAAGGTGGACACAAGCCGATCCATCCGTGAGGGGTGAGCAGTTTCGGGTCTTGCGCTGTTGAAGATTCGATGTGAGATCTCAGAAAGCGCAAGTACCCCAAGTGCTGAGTCATTCGATGTGTCTTCTGATTTTGTTGGGGATCTCTTTGGACCTTCTTTCAACCCGATCCGGTCAACTGGTGAGAAGGAGATGGTATCTTCGACAGACATCACTCCTTTTTCCCGTACTGGCCAGAAAAATGACGCAGTGGAGGGCGATGCTTGTCCTTCTAGAGCCATTTGTGGCCCTCAAACATTTGCAAGGATAGAAGAGTCGATGTGTGTCAACCTCCTCAAAACAATCATTGACTTCTTGTGATTTCTTGCTTGTCCAAGACTACCTCGAGGAATGCTGAGGGTGGAGGCTTTGGGCATGCCAGAAGTGTTTCAGTTGGGGATTCTGAGAAGACCACTGCTTCTTTTGGGGGGGTACATATTTAATGTGGGGATCTGCCAAAGACTTGCTTTGTTGCAAGGAGTTCTCTGCACGTGCATGAGGTGAAGCAGGTATCTTCTTTCATGCAATCTGGGTTGGCATTCTCGTTTGCCCGTACAGACTCCAATTGTACCGAACCTGAGGATCTCGCAAGATCCCGCAGCCAGCGCGGCGCGGTCGCGCGGTCGCGCACGTCGCCTCGCCAGGAGCGTTGGGGTGCGATGGAGCTTCATAAGCCCGGTGCCCCGCTTGGCGCCGGAGGCAATGAGCTGGAAGCGGACTCCGAGCATTTCAGATCCTAATAGCGATGGCCTCCAACCGAATAGCGATGCCATTCCCAAAGATTCCCTTCTTCTTGAGATGCATGTGTCGTTTTCTGGGGGGTGCGATTTTGAAGGACCTCATAGGTTGCTCCAATCGTGTTTCTTGAGACAAACCCGGTGGTTCTGGTGAAGATGATGAAGCCAACAGTCTTTGTCAGTTGCTTAGAGGTGCAACCTCTGGTGGAAAATCAACGTTCTGCTCCCAATGTGTGCACATGGCTTAAACCGGGGGCCCAGAAGACGATGACCAACTTTCCATATGTAGATCTGGAGAAGCCACTTGCTCAAAACACGGTGGCCCATTCTTGTTTCAGACCCATGTTCCACCACTTCTTGCCTTGCAAGTTTTGATACGGGGAGGTTCCCAACGTGACCACCACTTCCCGGTTCGGGACGCCTGTCTTCTCGAGGATGTTCCCACGGCTGATTGGACCGCCGAAGGCGTGGTGTGGCGGTAGACAGATGGGAGGAAGGGTAGTCGACTGGCGCACTGCTTTGTGACCGAACGAAAGGTACACCCTGGAAGAGACCGAACCTGAAAACCACTGGGGGTGTAAAGGAAGCTCGTCTTCAGTGTCATTTTCAGGTTCGTGGGTCTCCTAAAGTCAGGTGTAGTCGACTCTTGAGAAGAACACTGAGGATGTTTTTACTACAGTCGACTACCTTTCAAAGGTGAACTACAGTCTCTTGAAAGGTAGTCGTCTTTTGATGGCCCATTTCACTGAGTCGTCTCTTGAACCAGTCTTTGTTGCCCTCAAAGCTATGGTTGGCTAATCTCCGGGTGCTGATGATGCGGCACTTTTTTGTTTTTCTACAACTGCTTGCTTCGCCGCTCGTGAGCGCGCAGAAGCGGCGTGACAAGAAGACCATGGAGGTGAACTTCTATAGCCTTGGGCCCAGCTGCTAGCTTGCTGAGAGAACTGTCTTCGTTCATTCCGGTGGTGTGGATATGGAGCGCTGTGTTTCCGCTGTGGCAATCGAATTTGTGTATATCTGTATCTATGCATGCTGCCCCCAAGTGATTGCTTTCCAGTCATCCAGAGATATAAGTGCAAGTGATCTATAAGTATGACCAGGACTTTCCTGCCTCAAAAGGTTTTGAGGGGAACCAGGTCTTTCTCTGAGAAAAAGACAGTTTTCATCTGTTTATACTGCCCAGTACCATGCCTCCTTGGTCCGACTCCACGAACGCCATACAGCTCTCGGTGCGTGACACCAGGCATGGGCTATCCACCTGGAGAGCTCGCCCGGCCTGTGACAGCCCACAGCGACGCCCGTCCGTTGAGGTGTTGTCCCAGTTGGAAACGACGGACGGAATCAGCTCCAGAAGAGAGTGAACCTTGTTAAGGTTTGTGGATACAAGAGTTGCACAGTAGAGTCCTGTACATATTTGTCTTTAAGTTCAAGGACACGCCAGGCATAATTTTGTTTTTCTCATTTGCAAATCTTCAAAGCTTGTATGCATGCAGCATGCACGTATATTCAGAGCAGCGAAATGTGCATATATATATAATATATATATATATATATCAATTTCATGCTTGTGGCTGCCCCCCTTTTTCCTCTCGTGGTGAAACATGTCTTCACTGAAGAGGTTGAGTCCCCTGGCCGAGTCAAGAGAAACCGAGGGATCGGTCGCCACGACCGGTCGCCACGACGTCGTCCCTCAGACCATCGCCGCACCCCGGGGAACGCCAGGGGAACCAAGAAGAAACGCATCGGGCCGCACTTGATGAGCAGCGATCGGATACGCTACAAGCAGCTCAACCCGAAGGCGCTGTGAAAAATAGATGGGAAGCAGTCCTTCGGATGTGGCAAAGCTGCTCCAATGGCAAAATACACCCAAAACAGCCGCCAAAGAATTTGCCAACATTATAATTTTGCAGTTTGGAGGAAGGAATGGAATTGCTTCAGGAATCTTCAGGATATGTAAACACTCAAGAAGCCTTGTGATTCTGATGAGCGGCGGGGAATTGCTGCTGCAAAAACGTGGCAAACAACCTCTGCACATACAAGCTATTCCTCCATGGACGAGAAGAAACACTGGCATCCTGGATGGTATCCCTTGCTTGGATGGTATCCTCAGGTACCACCGTTCCATATAGTGTCCATCCGCACTTCCAGGTTCCAGGCTGTCATGCATACAAGCTCTACGAGGGCTACAAGACTGCCAGGACCAGCAATGAAGCACTCCATTCGCTCACATAAATCACTCCATTCGCTCACATAAATCCACAACATGCGGCCAAGTTGCTGGAGTATGCCATATGCCATATCATCTTTGAGTAACGACCGTTTTTTCGAGCCCCGTAGTCGGGTAAGACGGGGTCCATGTTTGTTCGCCGCCAACGTCAACTGACGCCAGGACGTTGCGTCAGGCGGTGGACTGGGGTGCGAGGCCCATCGATCTGGCGCACGACTACAACTGGTGCCTTCACTCCGAAAGGGAAGCGAAAGCGAAGAGCAAAGCGAAGAGCAAAGCGAAAGGGAAGGCAGAGATGGTGGTGCAGAGATGGCGCTGAAGTCTACGTGCTGAAGTCTATTGGGGGCTAAGGAAAAGAGCGAGAGGATTGAGAAGAACAGTAACAGACGTAACAGAAGGATTGCCTTCGAGACATAATTGTAGGGATAGCCTATGCATGGACTTCTTATATCTTCTTATGATTTCTTCATTTGACACTTTTCTCCCACCTTCGCACATATCGGATTGTCCTGTGGGTCGCCCTGACACCACTATATAGTTGTCCCATTCTCTCCAGGATTCTTTTTCAGAGTGTGGATCTTCCAGTGGCGCCATTCGCTGAATTTCAGTCCGCACGTTTTGAGGCCACGCGAGGCACCCTGGGTCAAAAGCCACCGATCCATCCACCATCCAGTCACGGGAGCTTCCACACGTGCCGTTCAGTCTGGTTACTGAGACCTTTGACGGGGCATCAACCTTCGGTTTGAGACCATTGGCGTCGATTTGATCCAACCAACGAAGCCCTGAGGCAGTCTTCTGACTCTTTTCTTCACGGTTTTGTGGTCAATCGTCTCGTCTCTCAGTTGTAAGGAATATCCATTAACCAAGCAATGACTTCGAACAGGAACGAGTGAGCTCACGACATGCCCTGCAAATGGCTCTTTTTCTTCCCGTCCTAAGGGGGTTCATGTCGGTGGTGGACCTGTCCTTGAACTTTCCCTACGAGGCCAGGTGGGGGTCTCCCACCGCACCGTGCGATTGGTTCACACCATTCGGGCGAAGGCTGCCCCCTCGTGTTTGGAACGAGATGAACAGGGCGCCGGGATTCCATGGCTCCTAAAAACTCATCGATAACCCTCATGTTCAGGTCGAGATCAAGGAGAAGCTCAGCAAGCCACGCAAGGCGAGCCGCTTTGTGGGTGAAGCAAGGCAGCAAAGGGAAGCTGAAAAGGATCGAGCTCTTTGCATACTAAGAAGCGACATAAGCCACATCATTTTCATGTGGCCACAAGAGAATGTGTCTTCATCTACTTTTCGCGTTGCGTGGGCTGAAGCAGCGCCCACTTCTTAGTCCTTGGACATCAACGCCCGGTGCCGAGGCGATCTTCGATTGGTCCAAGAGCCCGGAGAAGTTCATCAAGGCGACGGTATACGCGACGTCGGCAGAACAAATCGGTTTTGGTGTCAAAGCGGCTTGTTTTGGTCGAATGGTTCGACAAATCTCAGATTTCAGATTCGAAATAGATCTTTTTACATTCACACACATCCACATCCTTGCATCTGTTTGTGGACATGTCATGAAACCCACTGAACATGTGAACAAAGCCAATATACAGTCGAGCTATGTGAGGTTGAGATGAAACTCGTAGAGCCCCCCATGACCCTGACCCATCCAGCTGATAGCAAAAGTTGGCTGTAATTAGGTAGACTGCCCTTGGCGCAAGAAGCTATCCCATGTAACCGATTCAATACCCTCCAAACAGCAGGTGTTGCGTCATTTCAGTCTGTTCCAAAGAGGAATCATCATCGTTGAATTTGGATTCGATTGATATGACTACAAATTTGTACAAAAATTAATGCGACATCTACTGTTGATCAAGATACGGACAATGGTAATACAGCAGGTATGAAAGCAATTCGATCTGACATGTTCTTTTTGGTGAAAAAAGACTTCCGAAGTGTTCGAGGAAACGAAGACGTCCGAGTCCCGTGTTTGGGGATCAACCGACAGAACCTTTGTGGACACCTAAGGGGTTGAGAGTGAACCCTCAGCACTTCTGGCGCCAGTACCCAGCTTCAGTACTGGATGAGAACGGCTAGACACACACCCGTTGGAAACCAACTGGCTAATTAGAGCTTGGAGCAGAAATACCTTTAAACACATTAAAAACCGTGTTTCCCAAAAAGAGTTCCACACAAGCTCCTAACACGGATTGTCCCAGGTATCAACTGACCTTCTCCTGATTTTTCCCGTATCTTAGCATAGCCCCTGAACAAGGCCCCACACCTCCCGGCCCACGGATGAAGCCAGGTTCGCATCAAGGAGATGAGTTTGGGGCATCAAGGTTCGATGACGCCGATCCGACCACCGAGAGACGGACGGACCGATTCAGAGACAAGTTCGTGTGATGCCTCACCCGAGACGGAGTTGGGTGACGAGTTGCAGCTCCCTTTTGGGGGATGAAAGTCATAGAACTCACAGGCCTTGGATCTGAAGCTGTTAAGCTGTTCATAGTTGGCCCCATTCGGAGGCTGGCACTTTTTCGATGTATTGCTTTGGCACCGGATTCAAGGACAAGCTACTTCCATAGCTTTCAATCCATTTCACATAGCATGGCAAACTCAATTTCCAGAGCTGGATAGCGCTTGGTAGTGTTTGAACCTGAGATCAGAGGATTTCCTTCACCCTGGTCAGCAATTGATAAAACTGCCTTTGGACATGTTATATGGTATGAATCTATATTGAGATGTTCCGCGCATTCCTTCCGACATAGATACCCTCGTTGGAAAGAATTTTTGGAGGAGAGTGACCCACAGAGCACATCTCCAAATTCTCAGGCTGGTTCGGATCCATTCTTTTTGCAGAGGGCCATACTCTATATCGCTTCGAGAGCGACGCCGTCGCACCGCGGGACGAAGGGCGAGCTGAACCGTGCTCCAACGACGAGTAACACCGGCAGGTCTGGATGTGAGGAAGGAGTCCTTGCAATTGCTGGCGGCCGCTTTCGTGGCAATTTGGACCGGAGGATCAGATTCACATGTAGAAAAGCTGCTGAAAAGCGACGCTTTTCCTTCAGTGTGGTGAACTACGACAAGTGATTAACAGAGACTCAAGCTTGACTCAAACAACACACAGCCACTGCCTTTCGTGGGCACCGCCCTTACCCCCGGTTCCCTCCCACATCGGTCTCCTCAGTCACAGTCTCCTTCCGATCGTCTCCCACATCTGAGGAGCGAGTGCCCGAGCGTTTCCGGAAGCTCGACACCGAGAGCTTGAAGAAGGAGGCATGGCATCGCGGCTCGCGGCCTCGCCGGGGCGCGACGAACCCGGTGGGTGCCCCCGCGAGCTCGGTGGGTGAGGTCTGGGTAACATCGACCGGTGACCGCCATGGGTTCAGTGAGTCGGAGATGTGGGACATCCATACCCCAGGGCTCCTGGCCCACCTGAGGTACGGTGCTTGGGGTGGATGCCAGGGGGTCTAACCCCACCTGAGCCCTGGGCCAGGAGCCCTAGGGATAAGTAATCCTCCCATCCACCGATCGTTTTCGCGGATTCCATCTTACTCGATTCGATTCACATCGGACTCGTAGGATTCCGTAGGATTCCGTGGGATGTATTCAATGCATTGCTGTTCTTCAGTGAAGCAAGATGCCTTTGGCAGTTCTTCATATCAGGAGGCTGGGGGGGTTGCTGCTGGGGGATGAACTTTTAATACACATGCCAGACACAAGTTGCTATGACTGCTATGACAAGACCCCAAGCGTTTTCTTGGAGTGGTCTGAACACGCCACGCCACACGCAACGTGGTCTGACCTGTCAGTCGGCTCTGACCGGAAGGATCTGCAGGGGCTCAGGGGGTCCAACACCTCTCGGTCGTTCCGTCAGGAGGGTCTCCTGAGTCACGTTCCACTGGTGGTCTTCCGCGCACTCTTGCGATGGGTGCCTCGGAAAGGGCGAAGAGGGCAGACGAAGAGGGCTGAAGAGGGTGGACCAGGGAGGACAACCACGGGAGGACCAGCGATGGGCATTTTTGGGCCAATTTCCTTCTTCGGGGCAATCCTTTTCTGGGAGGCAAGTGCGGTAAGACCAGTCCTTGTGTCGGAGGTATACCCTTGACCAAGATCAATGGGCTAGCAAACATTAGCAATCTATCTAGCCGCTGCTATATATATATATATATAGACCTCCTTTCGGGTAAAACATGGAACAGGAACTAGTTGAGGGCCCGATCGAAGCATATCTTCTCAACCAACTGTCAGCTGGCGTCGTTTGACCTCTTTCGTGAAAACACGAGCTGGCCCCCCGACCCGTTCGATGGCCAACCCGTTCGTTGTCTCTCCCCCGACCCGTTGGCCAACTCCGACTCGTCCGCCCTGCCCACCAGGCCTCTACGGGGCACCTGCGCTACGAGCGGAAGCGCACGCGAGCGGTGCACGATGCTTTGAAGGTCCCGGACAGTCAGGAAACGAGTCACGAGGACAGAAAAAGGAACACTATCTTCTTTTGAGTTATATTAATAGCAATGGCCTCCAACTTGATAGCAATGGCCTCCAACCTATAAGAGCGGACACTTGGTCGAAGAGGGGTGACGTTTTTGATTTCAGGCTGACTGGACCAGAGGCTGTTGGTTTCGCCGAAGCGACGGAGGACATCATTGGACATCATTGAACCAGTTTGGAGTTTGCGCTGGGATTCTGCTATTTTCGTGCCACGCTCGCGAAGTGTTGAGTCATCGGGAGCATGTTTTTTTCTTTCAACTTCGATGCTTGAAGCACTGCCAAAGCTCACGCGCTTTTCGGGGACCGGAGAACCACATGCAGATTGATACCATGTTCTTTTTTCGCACAAGAAGACGTCACTGTTGCAAAGCTCAAGAAACGATGGTTGGCTGAGCAAGACCAAACATACCCAATTTCTGCCTTTTCATCAATAAAACCAGCCAAGTTAGGCAGACATTTTGCACAGTTGGAGGATCTAGGTAGATCTAGGCCGATATATATATATATATAAATACAGTATACAGAGCATATAGTAAATGTACAGTGTATTACAGTGTTACATATATAGCATATATAGTTATAGTATGTAGAGATGTGGTTTCTCCAGCACCAACACCGTTGCTCCAGCCGAAGTCCGCGGCACCGCTGTGTCCACACGGCGCTGGACACCTCAGGTGCTAGGGCTGAAGACCTTGGCCAAGAGGGTCAAGCAACTCGAGGCGAGTCGCCAGTCGCGAGTTCGGGGGGGCCACCGTTTCGGGGCGCGAGTGGCCCAGCCCGGCGGCATTTTGAGGCCAGTTTTGGTTTCTTGAGAGTTGGACGTGCTGCGTATAGTACTTATAGTCACTTATAGTGCCATTCTTTTTCCATTGGGTGGGTGAACGGGGCTAGATAAGGAGCTTATGTATTGTTTGTCAGGTCTTACCAAGCACCTCCCAAATTTTCCGCCCACTGTCCGCCAGGCGCAGGAAGCCAAGGAGGCGCTGAAGGCTCTTAAAGAGCCAAAGGCTGCGAAGTGGGAGCCCTCAGAACAGGCGCACTGACTCTTGCAGGTGGATTTGGGGGTGGTTTCTAGGCTGTAGGCTGTAGGACCTTTTTCTTCAACCTTTGAGGGTTGTGCTTCAAGAAAGCTCCGGTCAGTTTCCCAGTTTCTCATAGCAGGAAGATTTTGGAGGGATTTCTATTTGTTGCATCAACTGTCCGTCCACCCTGCCCACCCTGCGTCGCTTCGTCCATACGTTTCGACTAAGCGGACACCCAGCGAACCCCCATCGAACCCGAGAGCAGAAGATGAGAAGACCATCCTCATGTCGAGCCCAAAGCTCTCACTTATTTTTCTTTCGGGGGGAGTGGAGGGTGCCACTATATATACAGCACTGTTTGTAAGTTGTGTTTCCCAAGCGTGTTTGTATGATGGGAAACCAATCCTTTGACAAGGAGCTTGGAGTTGGGTTCTCTCTGAACAAGAGAAAGCTCCTGGAGTGGGAGACTTCCCAATTTCTTCGTGAGACTTGACACTCCAAACTAGATATATAGTATGTGCTTATGGACTGAATGCCACAACAGGCCCTGAAGAAACCTTGGTGAATGGAAAACACACAGATCAACAACTGCGCGAGTCTACTTTTCCGTGCTGCTCAAGAGTCAAAGGAGTCTGCTCAAGAGACCTATGTCGCCAGGTTCATCCCAAATTTTGTCGATCCTGTGATTTCCCCAACCCCTCGCAGCGAAAACAAACACCTGTGACTTTTGGTGCCAATTCTCGGTGGAGAAACCCCGCCGAGCCGAGCCACACCGGAGAACAGCGCGACACCCGGGCGGAACACGCGACGGCGGGGAGGACCGGTTTCACGACCGGAACTGAGGCGGAAGTTGGGCCAGGCGCGTTCGGCTGGTGCGACTGGCGACCGAGTTGGGATCCGAGCTCTGTCCCGCCTGGAATCTTCCAACAACTGCAATCCTATAGTCTGGACTTCGAAGCCATGCCATATTGGAACAACCATTTGTTTCTGGTTGTTTGGTTTCCCAGGTAGGGAATATGAGGTTCCAAACTTGGCACCTGCCAAAGGCGGTTCCTTCACATCTGTGGCTTTCGTGGCGTTCGCGCACCGGAATAAACGCGTCGTCGTGACGTCGTTCCCGGGTGCGCCGCGCCCTCAGATGGCCCGCGCCGCCGCGCAGAAGCGGAAGGCTGGGGATCCGGTGGGTGAAAGGTTGCCGGTGGAGGAGTCCAGCGGTTCGAAGCCGAGCTGTCGGGTGAGAGGACTTGGTGTGCAAAAGTACGTTCCCCTTGGTAATCTCTGGTATTCTGGTATCTCCTTCCTTTGTCAACGTTTTTGGGTGACCACGTACGTCCGGGCCGAGCTGCTCGGTGTCCAGTGCCGAAAGTGACACGCTGTTGAAGGTTTTCCATGGTCGTTTGGGGGAGTGAAGTGAGCGTGGACACCATGAGACACTTGCGTTGAGAGAAGGGGATCTGCTGAGATGCTCGAGGAAGGAATTGTGAGGGTGGTTTCATGCTGGTTCAGATGCTGCCTGCTGTATGCCGCGGCATGCCACGAGCTGTCACATAGAAACAGAGGCTTCCAGAAATTCCAAGCATCATGTTGGGATTCTGTTCAAACCGCACCCAGTGATGGTTAGTCAACCAGAATGCGAATTCGCCAAGAAGTATCGTGTTCTGGTGTTCCTTAATCCCACACCTGGTGGGCCTGGACCGGTAGCTGCTAGGACTGCGGTCCGAAACCCTCCCCCCCACACACATGCGGAAAGACACATGAATCGACCGACCGAGCTACACGGCTGTAGAAGTCGGTGAGCATTTCATCGCTCTTTTGGGGGGCCTAGACTCGACCCATGGCGCCCATCATCCTCAGGTCATGAAAGCCCATGTGAAGCAACGGAGGTGCCGTCGTGGTCGTTGTGGGGTGGCATGTCCGCTTGGGGACGATGGAGGTCCTCCTTTGCGCCACGTATTGTTGGGAAAATCTACACTTGGATTTGAACAAAGGAAGCCCCAATGCATCTACGCATCATGAAGCCATAAAGAATAGCGATTTGTGTTCCCTATACCTAGTAGACAAAGAGATTAGGCAGTCCCCACAAATTAAAACAAACCGCATGGAGGAATATATATCGGCGCAAGGGTTGGCGGAACATGTGATCATCTGTGGCATCTTGATTTGGCCGTGGATGCTTGAGATCCACAGACCCACAGACAAGTACAACCATTTGCTTTGATTGGCCACAGGGCTCTTCCCACGCTCCTTCGCCATCACGTGAAGCAACCAGCTCATTCGGACGAGGGTTTTTCTGGACGACCCAGGTGAGCTGAACGAAGACGAGTCCGTCGGGGTCAGAGCTTCCTCCGGGGTCAGCTCGTCGCGTGGAGTTGATACCGTCATGAGCAAATACCGAGCTCCGTGAGGACATTGAAATAGCCGACATTGGGATTCTGATTCTTATGTTTCTATTTTTGGATGCTGGAGAACAGCACTCAGACGCCGAAAACGGATTTGAACGGAAAGACGGTATCTGTTTCTCGCTGCGGAACTCCCTTCAAAGGGCTGAGTCCGGGGCCTGTTTTAGAGGGCTTGGGGGTCAATCGACAATGCGGAGTCGACATTTGCATTGTTGCCCCTGCAGCTGTTGGGCAGAGGGGTTGGGTGCGGCCAGCGAGCCAGTCCAGAGGCATGAACGGGTGTGAGGACACTTTGGGAGTCATGTGGGGACACCCTTGAGTCCGTCAATTGGGCAACAGCCTCCAACAGCTGCAGGGAAGGTGGCACCAAACTGCCGAGACCGGCTTGGTCACAAGCTTGATTCGCTGGAGTAGGCGGCTGGAGCTTTCGGATATTGTTTGTTCCATGTCCAGAAAAGAAATGGATTTGAGAACCTTGCTGATCATGTGGGGCCAGATGTACTCAATGAGCTGAGTACTTAACTGCTCGAGTGGTGAGTGTTGGGTGCGCCCTGCGACAAAAGAAGGGCTGGAAACAGAAGGTACTGCGAAGGCACTGAGCAGGCCGGTTCCAGGTGAAAGCTTAGAGAGCATGGCACATTGCAATTCTTATTTTGGGCTAGATAGCAGGAAGACGATTGTTGGGACTGAGGTCTTGATTCTTTGGCTTTGCGATTGACTTTGCACGTTTTTGAACCTGCACATATTCCAACAAATTGCACTTCTGAGGTCTTTTCGGTTTCGAAAGTTCAACATCCAACCTGTTGAGTTTGAACCCGCTGGTTGGGCAGTACATCAACTGTCTGGGATGTTGAGTTGGATGTTGAACCTGTCTTTTTCAACCCATCGAACCGGCTGGATCGAACGGTCGCCAACGATCCGCGTGACCCGACGATCCTCGTGACCTCGTGACGAATTCGATGAGCATGACGGATGTGGGGCACCTGCGTGCCCCTTGTTTTCAGAAAGAGACGTAGACCTGACTTGAAGCATGTTCCTACTCTTTCAGAGTCCTTACTGACCCTGCCTAGCAATTCTTTTGGATTCTTTCTTTTTTCTTTTGGACTATAGAGTACTAGTGGACTATGGTTATATGGTTATAGTGCACCTCGTGGCATCAAAAGGTTGGGGTCTGCTCGCTTGTGATGTTTAGAGATGCATGGAGACGTTCTAGTTGTCAAATCTCTGCCCAGTGAGACGTGTGCAGGGTCTGACCCTGCAGCCTTGCAGCCAGCCAATTTTCCGTAGCTTCTTAGGGCTCCAGACACTAGAGGACAGACCCTTGAGCTTTTTGGAAGGCGGCTTGGGCCGGAGTGTCTCATCGGGCTGACACTCGGTGAAGCTTTGCGAGTGCCGTGGAGCATGTCTTGGTCGTAAGAGGACTGTGGCCCACATGGCGAACCTTTTTGAAAGGCATGTCACCCCCGAAGTAAAGCATGTCACCATGTTGTTTCCAAGCAGGGGGAACACATAATGACATGCCCCAGCAGCTCATACAGCAAGGATTGGTTTTGGCTCGCCCAACTTCTCTCCTGGCAGGGGCGAGCGCGAGCACCACGCATCATGCCGCACCTTGAAACGGAGATGAAGCTGGATTTTAAGGTGCACGGCAGTGCAGGGCAGAGTGGTGCAGCAAAGTGTCGAAAGGAATTCCGTGGTCCGGGACAGCAACGAAAGGGTGACGTTTTGCTCTATTTCTTTTCCAAAGACATTAAAAGCTAAAGGAGTTGCGTAAAATATCGATTGGTAAAGAAGAACAATTTTCAGTTGGAGGCCATCGCTATTAGGTTGGAGGCCATCGCTATAGGAAGAAGAAGAAGAACAACACATTTATTGGCTGGTCACCATCTGCTCGGTGCAGAAAAAAGGCTCTGCGCCGCGACGAGCAGGACGTGCTGATCCGACCGAAACGATCAGCGCTCTCCAGCCGTGCTCAGGCCCGGTGGGGGAGGGCCAAGGTAGACAAGGCCATCAGAGGCCATCAGGTAGGGCCAACTAACTCGGCTTTCTTTTCGGCTGACATGATATCCGGTTTTGCTGCATGCTTCAGGAGCATAAAGGACAAGTTCTGGTTGATGTATTCTTGCGTGGGATTATCCGTCAAAGCAGTTTGTTGTTTTCCATTTTCTGGAAGCATCAGGAGCAACGGCAAGCTGAAGCTGCAGAACATCTTGCTCTCAAGCTTGACGTATTCAGTGCATGTAAGTGCTATAGTCTCTGCTAGTGTTGAAGTACCTCCTTTCGGTTGTGTTCTACTCTCGAGGTCTCCATCGACAGGGAGTTTGTGTTTCCCAACTCCAAGCAGGCGCGGTTTCGGGCGCAGTTTCGCTGTGCAGAGCACGTTGAATACGAGCTGAGTATGGTGGTTTCTGGCAATCAACTTGAGCCAGCAGGGAGTTCTTATGCCGCTTTAGTGCTTCGTTCTCCAGAAGTCAAGTTGCTTTGTGTGTGGGAAATACGTGTTCGGAGTAGATCCACATCCACTGATCTCGTGTTCGGCATCTAAATCACTCCGAACGAGAATGCCTTGGTATGAGGGTTGGTCATGAATCTAGGAACCAAACCATTGGTGCCAGCGTGAGCTATCCTGCGTCCATATGTAGTAGCTACCTCCCTTGCTTGATTAAGTAGGCGCCTACTTAATTAAGTATAGGGACGGGGGGGAGCAGGCAAAAAAAGGAGGTTGGTTGTGAACCTGAGGAAACTCCCAACTGGTCGATCCAATCCAAAGGAAGGTGCTCACCAACAGGCCTTTTCCGCTATGAGAACAAGTCATGTCCCAAAGAGATCGTCGAAACCCAACGAAAGCGAAACGCCCGTTCCGACATCCCGGGCTGACGCTGGAAACAACGCTGCTTTCTCAGATGGTTCTTCCGGAATGCCCTGACCAACGCTTCGGAGCCTTTGACGGCGAGAAAATTTGGTGGCATGGGGTGAAATGTAAACCCTGTGAAGCGTTCCTCCTTCGTCTCTACTTTCACTGTCCTTCACTTTGAGACTAAGCGGCTTCCAGCAAACCGCCCACCTAGAAGGGACATCAGAGACTTCATTAGTTGAGATTTCGATATTTTGTCATTGAGCTGTTGATCGCCACACCTACGTGGCATCCACTTGCTGCCGTTGTTTTTCACTATGCCACGCCTCTCATTGAGAAGCGACATCGGATCCTTCGCCCATCATCCGCCACGGATCGCATCCTGTTCTCCAAACAACATTGGCTGTGAGTCAAAACCTGGTCAGCCCCAAACCCTGGTAGGTTGACCATGCTTGACCTGTGTTCAGGTCAACGAAGGTCTCTTGTTTTGACCCAGGTCGACATCGGGTCCGTCGACCGTCCACCTGTCCAGGTCTGGACAGGGACGCCCATCATTGCAGCCAACATGGACACCGTGGGCACCTTTGAGGCGGACGGACGGACCCCGGGGGGATCATTCCGGAGAGGGGGTTCGGGGTTCAGGTCCTTGTTGTGCTAAACCAGAGCCCTTTGTTGTGGTCTTGCTGCGGTTTCGAGGTGTTTGCCCAAGAGGAAAGGTGTTTGTGTAAGGGATGCCTGTCTTCCAGACCAGTAAGGGTGCTCAAGCATGATTTCCTTTTGTTTTCCTTTCGTTCTTCAGACCTTTCTTCTCTTTCTTTATCCCCACCTGCCAGGTGAGGGTTGTTAGATCTCGTGCTCCAGAACCTCAACTGCAAGCTCCCGATCGCAGTAGACACTGCCAGACCTCAACCGCAAGCTCCTGATCGCAGTGGGCACTGCCGGACCTCACTTGCAGAAGATATGCCAGAAAGAATGTCAGAAGGAATGCCAGAAAGAATGTCAGACATATTGGACATATGCCAGAAGTATGCCAGATAGAATAGATGGAATGCTGGAACGAATGCTAGAATACATATATATATATATAGTAGATAGAACCCCGGACCGAGTGTCAGAAAATATGCAAAATAGAGCGCCATAATATACGCCAGATAGAAGGCCAGAATAGGCCAGACAGAATGCCAACATATTGGCCAAGTAGAATGCCAGAATATGTCAGATAGAATGCCAGAATATAACCACATAGAATGCCAGAACATCACATACTAGATAGAATGCCAGAAATATGCCAGATAGAATGCCATAATTTTTGTCAGTAAATATTCATGGCACACATTTTCTTGGTGATTTTGAAGCAATATAGCCGTCCGTTGTCAGCAGAGTATACTGTCATGGTGGGGATCACCCCAAGTAAAGTAAGTGTTCTTTCTTTCTGCTTTTCTTTTTATCAACCCTTTTTACAACCGTTCTTCCTTTTGTTTTTCTGCTTTCTTTAGGCCTTTCCTCACTTTCTTTAAGGACTTCTTTCTTTTCTTATTTTGTCTTTCTTAGACCTTTCTGCCAGTTGTTCATACGTTTTCTTTTAAGATTATTTTTTCTTTGGACATTTTTTTCTACTCTTGTTTTTTGCTTGTTTGTTTGTTCATTGTTATTACTCTTCCTTTTGTCTTTAGACCTTTAGTTTATTCTTTTCTATTTTTTTGTTTTTTGGTTTCTTTCTATCTTTTGATATTTTTGTTTCTTTTCTTTATTTTTATCTGTTCTTATAAGGCTCCAGTCTTCCACCACTCCCCCATCTCTTCGTCAAACCCTAATGGGGTGCAGACTGCGCAAATGCGCAGGTCGCTGCAGTACTGGCCAAGCGAAAATGTGTGGGGCACAGGGGAGTTGCGGGTCATTACTTGCAAATTGAGCTACTAGGGGCTCCTGGCATCGCTCCTAGGAGCAAGGACGCTACTAGGGGCTCCTGGCCTTACTACTAGTAACAAGAAGCTACTAGGGGAGTTGTTCTGTTCTTTAGTGTTGCGGGCGGAGAAGCAGAAGAACGTATACTCTGGAGTCTCTGGAGGTGGAACATCGTCCCAGAAAACTGTGTTAGTTTTTTAGAAAATTCTTATTGCTACTACTAGCACTTGTCACTAGTAGCGATGCACTTGTTTCTACTAGCTTCTTGTTACTAGTAGTAAGGCACTTGTTACTGTGTATTTTTGAAGACACATGTTGGTAGGCCAACAGTTCGAAAATCTGGTTCTTCTACCATCAACACCCAACAAAATGTTGTGGGGGATGTTTTTTTTTGGGTCGATGTTCATTTTTTGGAGTTTTGTTCAGAACACCAACGTCCGAGGCATTATTCTTGGCTCAAGTATGAACGCTGCTCTGACCTTTGGTACTGGTTGGCAAAACTTGCGACATGACACTCCCGGCTGGGATGACCACAGAGTGCTTCAGTGCTTGGTTAGCAAGTCTTGGGATGACCATGAAAAAACCACAGCCCTCAAAGCGTGACCATCAATCCCGACGGAAGTTCAGAGTGCAGCATCAATCGAAAACACATGTTTTTCCCCACAAACTCCACGGCCAACTTCGGCGCCCTCATCGACTCTCCCGACCGATGGCATGGGACAGCGTGAAAAGCTACAAGTCTGCAGCCTGGTGGTTTTGCAGTTCTTCTCCGGCTTTGCCTGGGCCGTACAGCGGCCGCAAGGCTTCTTCGTCGTGGCTTGGATCCACATGATTGAAACATGATGCCGATGAAGATCGGGGTGCTCTTGCCGTTCTTGGTGGATTTGGGTGGAAGATCGGGGGGTACTGGTCAATGTGGCTGTATGTTGTATCCTCCAAAACTGGAGAGCTAGCTTGGTGAATTGTTCAAGTTTTGAAACCTTTGCATCGTTGAAGAACTTGCTATAGCAGTTCCCGAGGTGCTGTTGGAGCAGCATGGTTTTTCAGGCCACTTGGCACGGGGTGAAGAAAGCAATGTTGGCCTGGTTTTCAGAACCCATGTCTTTTGCTTTTCAGTCTCCAAGCTTGCTAGTAGGTTGGATGGAGGCCATCGCTAGCAGGTTGGAGGCCATCGCAATGAGGTTGCAACCCAGGCCATGAAAACATCGGTCTCAGGAACCTTCCGTCAACGATGCCTCGATGCCTGCGGTGACCTGCGGTGACCTGCGGTCCGGACAGGATCGAACGCGCGAAGATATGGAATCCCCAGGTATATTTGAATGCAGAAGCGGAAAACATTACTTGCATGATGCATTCATACTTTGTGTGAGGGCAAAGCTGGTCCTAGTGTGAGGGACAAATAAACAGGGCTCGACATTGTTCCGGTCCATTTTGTCGAGGGGCCTACGGGCAAACACAGGTGGTTTCGGAACCAGGCTTGCTCTAGATCCAGTCAGGCTTAACATCACCAAACCAGAAGAAGAAGAAGAAGAAGAAGAAGAAGAAGAAGAAGAACAAGAAGAACAAGAAGAAGTAGAAGTAGAGTAGAAGTAGAGATAAGCCGAGATGGCTCACCGTTGAAGACCCCCCACACCTCACAGGAGAGGAAGGACATGGCTTGCAGAAGAAAGACCAACAATGACAAACACCTCACTTTATTGCATGCTGATTCCCAACCAAAAGCGGAAAGAACATGTATCAGCGTTTCTAAGAACCGCCTGAAGACAAATCCATAAACCTTTGTTCCGTTCGTAGCGTTCTTCTTCCTAGTAGCAAGGGCGTTCTTGTTCCGATCTCCACCTCGCGGTGATCTCACACTTTCAGGGTCTGCCATCGGCTTGATCAGTTCCTTGGGCTTGTTCACCCCGACCCTGACTGGGCCTCTGGTGGGCTTCGCTGCCGACGCGCTGGCGCCCGAGCAGCGGCACCGGCTCTTCGCGGGTGTGGCGCTTCTGTGGCACGGCCTGCGTTGGTTGGGGAAGAAAGGGTTGGAAAAACTACAGATGGAAGATGCTTCTTTTTTCCGGTCCAAACACGAAATCTAGACATCGGAAGGCCTGGTGAATTCTGACCGCTTTTTTGAGCTCCCTGCGGATTCCAACCCATCCGAACTGATCCCACAGCCACCCCGCAGCTGCGGCCGCACAAGGGCACAAAGAAAGATCACTGCAAATCCATTGAGAGCATCCCCTCCTTAAGTTCAGAGCCATCTACTCAAATTGGGGGTGTGTTTGGAAGATGGAACTTCTCTACCAGATATCCGGTACATATGTTAGAGAGGTTGGGATCTTGGACTGATGGCTTAGGTGCCTTTGGATTTGAGCCGTGGATCCACAAACTTCGCTCCGAAAAACCCAACGAACAAAAAGACAGAAGAAACGAACAAAACCAACGGCAGCCACGATCGTGTTCTTGTTTTCTTTTTCGGGAAGGAATGATTTGTTTCACGCAGATCTTGCAGATTCGATTGCTGTGGCTGGGCAATGGCTAGTTGCTGTCTGCTCGGCCCTCGGACTGGGAGACGCGGCGGCGCATCGGGTCTGAGGAAATCGACATTGCAGCTGGCTGCGTGGCCAGCGCTGGCAGATGCCCCAAGCAGCAGGGCATACTGGTGGATCTTCAGTTGCATGTGTTTGCAGGCTGGAGATGCACAAAGATCTACACCTCCTGAAAGATCTAATTCATTCTTTGGGTTGTGGAGAGATTGCGATATCTAGCGGCAAGAGGAGGCTCTGTTTGGGATGCATGCAGATTGCATGTAGAACTGCTCATCCAACACGAATATCCCGGAAGGAAGAGAACATGGAATGAGATCAAACACATTCAAACACCACATTTTGAGACGGCTCTAGAGATGTTCGATGGCCTCACTGGAGGAAGCAGCACATGCCCTTCTTGTGCAGGCAGCCTGTTCCCAGGGAGGAATGCTCACAGAGATCACGCTCCGATTTGTTGGAAAGGAGACCTATGGGAAGGCTGGGCGGGGAGGCTCTACCTGGTGGCAGGAGGCTCCACCTGAGTTTGGAGGTCGCTTATTGATGATTTGGGATTGTTAGTAGCGACCAAAGAAGAGACTGGTGACTGGAAGAGTAGGGAGATTGTTTCGCCCAGTTGGAAGTCCCTGTGGTTCCTCATGTTTTCATTTTTTTTGCGGTGTAGTTTTTTGCAACCGCTTTACTATGTTTCACTCGATTTTGCATGCCAATGGCCTTTAGTTATGCATGAGTGCGCGTCCCACACACACGTAGCTCCAAGCAACACACTTGTGGCTCTTGGCTTGGACGGTGACAAATCTTGACTCAGACCCAATTCTTGCTGTCAAGAGGGCTAAATGCTCGACTTCAAATGAAGAATGCACGTGATCGACATATAATGCAAGACTCTAGACCCTTGATGAGTAACCCCCCCCATGGGAAATCTTCTTCATTTGGGCGGTTTATCAATGTGAAGGTGCGCCTTTGGGGTGGCATCGGCTTTGCCTCCGGCTCGCTGCTGACGGGGCTCCTGGCACATCACCTCGGTGGCTCGGATCCAAAACGGTGAACCAGAGGTGAACCAGAAAGGGTGCTGCTAGTAGCGATGCCAGGAGCCCCTAGTAGCATCCTTGCTCCTAGTAGTAAGGCCAGGAGCCCCTAGTAGCTTCTTGTTACTAGTAGAAAGAATGCTACTAGTAGCGATGCCCGGGTTCCTGTAGTAGCTATTTGCTCCTAGGAGTAAGGCCAGGAGCCCCGTTCTTAGCGTCCAATCGCTCCGTTCGTAGCGATGCCAGAGGTGAACCAGAGCTGCTGTGCCCAAAGGTCACTGGAGTGTATACGCTCTCGCTGTAAGCTCCTTCATTCTTCTCGCTCCTCATTCCTGTCAACATCGATCAACTAGTTACGGGGTTAGGGCACCTACTAGCGATGGCCTCCAACCTACTAGCAATGACCTCTAACCTACTAGCAAAGGCCTTTAACCTACTAGCAGAGGCCTCTGGTCGTATACATGTCGTATATAATTTCATGTTTTTGGTCTTCGATCATCCTTTTTCGACTCCATTTGGTCCTTCGATGGTTCCATTGACCCTTCCCACTGCGTCACCAAGCTGTGCATTTCCTTGCCAGAACTGGAGTAGCGTCCTTTTGTTCCTAGTAGCGATGCCAGGAGCCTATAGTATAATTTAGCTTTTTGTGTTTCAACTTTGCTTTCCTTTGATCGGTTTCAACTTGAGCCCAGATGCCAATTCGCTCAGATGCCATTCTTCGGCACAATTCCGCGCATCGGAGCGCTCGAATTTGTACTGGGCAGACAGGGAGGGTTGCCGTGCATCTCAACATGTTCTGCCGGTCACCAACCTCTTGTTATGCAGATTCTATAAGAGCCAGTTCCGATGTGTTGCAATTATCCTTGAAACCTCTTTGTTCACCACACATGTCCAGCACCGAGCATTACAAAAGGCAAGGTCTATCCCATGAATTTGCAGTGCAAGATTTCTGTTTGTGTTTGCAAAGATATCAACCCGCCAAGAGTTGGCAACAGCGAACTTCCAGGCTACAGCATCGTTTTCCTCGAGAGCATGTTCGTGGGTGTGGCCTTGGCAACGTCCGTCACTTGATCTCACTTGAGTCTCGGAAGGCCGCTGGCCGCTGGTGTTTTACATGGGGCAACCACCAGCACAACCAAAACCATGGCAACCACCTGCTTCGCCAGTGGCGAGTGACGTGGAGCCATGCGGGCGAGTTGGGCGGACGATGCGAATCGCCCCCGCGACGTCTCGAGGGATCGGAGCGCCGTCTCGAAGGGACCCGCCGAACGGGCCGAAGCACGTTGGTGAGGCTAGTTTCGACAAAAGTAGCTACTATAGGACCAGGAGCTATATATACTAGGAACAAGGACGCTACGTTCGGGGCTCCTGGCCTTACTACTAGGAACAAGAAGCTACTAGGAACAAGGGCATCCCATCGCAGACTCCCCGAGTGACCGCGAAGACGCGGACGTAGACGGACGTCGTGATCCATTCCAAGCCCAGGGATTTGGGCTGATTCCCTTGAGTGGCTTCTTGCTACTAGTAGCTTCTTGCTACTAGTAGCGATGTACTTGTTTCTAGTAGCTTCTTGCTACTACACTTCCCTAGACTTTATCATGGGACAGATCGGTATGACTGTATGACTCAACATTATGAGGACTCCCGAAAAGAAGACCTTTTATGCTAAAAGGATCACTAGCAAAAGCCAATTTCACCCAAACTCCCAACCCCACTTGAACACTCCCGAAACAACAGCTCATTTGCAGCTTTGATCACTTGTTGTTTGGGGGCGCCAACGGGAGAAACACTCGCTTTCGACCAAGCGCCCTGACCCGACGCCAGGTCTTCTGCCTAGCTCACGCCTCCGTCTCAGCCGCTCCGGGCTCGGAGATGCTCCATGTGGCGGCTCCGTCGGAGCCAACGTCGGAGCGGTCCAGGAGCCGACCGGTACCGTTTGGGGCTGACCCCAAACTCGCTTGGTGGAAGAGTATATGACCCCAATTTCTAGTGAACAGTTAGTAGCTGGAAGAATTCTCAGTCCAAACCACGATTCTGTTGGGTGTGGTGGTTCATAATCTTGTTTTTTTCCCAACTGAGGAGACCGTCGACCAAAGAACTCCTGAGATTTCTCCTGACTCCTCGCGTGGCGGTGATGCTGATCATTGTGGTAGCGATGGGATTCTGTGAGGGCATCATGTCACTGGGCTGCGGCAAATCATGTCCTCCTACAACAGATGGCCTCCGACCTGTATAATAGGAGTGGCCTCCAACCTACTGCGATAGCCTCCAACCTATAATGTCGATATTGTAGCCAGCCTACTCCAGGCTAGGCTGAAGTGATTTTCAAAGTAGGTCTGGAGGGAGGTGCAGTAAAGTGCGGTGCGGTCATGTAGATAATATTGTATGAAACGCTTTTTAAAACCTGTCAACTGGACTCGAAAAAGAGAGCGAGTGTACTGGTTGCGTCCAACCCAGTCCCAGGCAGACCTACACCTATGTCCGTCTCCAAGAACTTCCTTATGGATCCTCAACAATCATGAGCTTGAGCGCTGTATGCATGATCATCTCGGAAGCACCCCGGCTGCCGTTTTTCCTGTCATCACGTGGTCGTTTTGTTTGGCACACTAGGGCAACCCTTCTGCCCGAAAAGAAAAACACACAAATGTGTTTGAAGAGTGTTTCAAGCAGGGTTCTGTATTGAAGTGGAAGAAAAGGGTCTTGGATAGAGACTGCAATGTTGTTTCCAAAGTGATTTCGTTCGGAGAATCGGACACCACGTCCGATCACCAGGTCGAAAACCAGCAGATCCCATGGTGCCATCGCTGATCCCATCGGTGCTCAGGTGCCGTTCTTCTATTTTGCCGATCCCATCGTCCGACGCTTTGGGATCATGCCTCTTGGAGAGAGCACAAAGGGTGTGAAGGGAACGAAGGGAAAATCCAGGGAACATCCAGGAACTGAGATGAGGTGCTGACTTCCAGGTCCACTACTCTTGCTTTCTCTCTCTCTCTCTTTTAGTGTATGATCTGGCTCCATCGCTATTAGGTGGAGGCCAATACTACTAGTAGCAAGAAGCTACTTGTAACAAAGGCTTCTAGGTTGGAGGCCATTGCTATTATACAATAGGTCTAGCTCTCTCTCTCTCTCTCTCTCCCATTTAAAGTGCGTATGATCTGGTTCCAGAAATTTAAGATATACCTCTTTTCACAGTATATCAACCGACTCTGCCCTGCTGTGCAGGCCCATCTTGAGCTTCTCCCTTCTGTGCTCCGCCCTACGGCAGGCCGATTCTGTCCTTTTACAGTTCTCCATTTGAGGTGGTCACCTGGTTTCAATGCACAAGAACGGTGGAGTGACTCAAAACATGTCCATGTTGTTTGAATCTTTTTGAATCCAGGACTCCAATTATAGGCTACATCATGCCCTGGCAGCTCCACTGGCAGCTCCTTTTTGGCCATTTGAACATGGACGAAGAACTTCAGCCCTGCCAGGGCTGGATCTCCTTCCTTTGGGATGCTCGTTGGGTTCTTCCAGGCCCGGGGCGGCGCGGGCGGTCCAGCTACCTGGCGCGGTGACGCTGGGGACGGAGAGAAGCTGAGCATGTGTAGGCTTCTTCATTGCAGTCAGAAGGCTTCTGAGAAGCTGATGCTTCTCTGACGGTACTTTTGGGCAGCTCGAATAATTAGCCTCCAGCTGCACGCTTTGTTGGACCTATAGGCTGATTCATTGGTTCATACAACAAGATTGAGGCAAATATTGGAAACAGCCTCTACCATGAAAATCAACCACTTGCAATCAATTTGATCATTCGGATTTCGACTTGTTTTGACCAACAGATTTTGACATGTTTGGGCACCTGCCCTGACTGGGGCATCACCCAGTCGCGATGGTGTGACCTTGTGGCTTGGTCCAATGGTCCCACTGTCGTGTCCCACCAACCCGAAGGGCCCGAATCCTGCGGTCATTCCCCAGATTCTGCGAGCTATTGGGGTTCTTACTTCAAGTATAGGGCCGCGGCAGTGTGCTGGGGTTTATGCTAGCGTAATTGTTGCTACACATGGCGAGTCGCCTTGGGCATTTCAACCCACCTGCGTCACGGACCCTAGCCGCCGCCTGTCGCGTCGTCCGAAGATCGGGGGCAGTGTCGTCACACTATGCGAACGTCCGCTGCCAAGGTCAGTACCTGCTCAGGTTAGACTCCCCACAACTACTTGGGCTCACGGACAGACATACTCAGCTCAATTATGCGTTTACACCTGGGTCTTGTGCCGGTGGCGGAACAAGAAGAAAAACAGGGATCAACCTGCAAGCCACTTGTAGACCGAACTTGGACTTCCGAACCCAGCGTGGGAGACCGCGCAGGCGAACTGCTTCATGGCATCACCTTCTCCATTGCCAATGCGGCAGTGACCTTGAGCGTGCCTAGGTGGCACTGCTGATCTGAAACCATTGACTCTCGGAGTTGAGGATCAAAGCGATTTCTGTTTCACTCAGAGTGGGCTTTGAATCAATGCTATTGGAGGTTGGATTTTGGAGCCACAAAGGGTCCGGATATGTGCCGAAATCATGGGGAGGATGTAGGGAGCTACTCTCTCCAGCCGTTCGCGGCTTGGAACGCCGAATCCCACGCTGCACGCCTCGGCGACTCGGCACCGGACGCGGCATCGGACGCGGTGAGGCTCATGACCTCGCGGCGGGCACGCGCTTCGAGACGACGATGCAGTCAGTCATCGGCAGCTGTTGGGTGGGCATCGGCCAGGGCAGTGCCTCCTGGGCGGGTGGACTGGTCTTGCACCACGCGGGGCCTGTGGCGCTCTTTCAGGCCTAAGATGGTGATCTATAAGAGTCTAAGAAGGTGGTGGTTAAAGCCGTGGTACTCGAAGGATGTCATGTTTTCCAAGCAGAAACCAGCTTGAGCCTTCCGCTGTCTCCCCTGCGAGGCCTCTGCCTTGCTGGCACTTGTCTCATCCCTCTTGCCGCTGGGCCTGGCTCTTTGCGACCGCCAGCGGCCACGCTGCGACGCGGCGTAGACGATCGACGGCCGGAAGCCGCGGGGCTTCGGCGGCCACCACGCTGCACGCCGTGACCGTGCGGCCGCGGTGAAGGACGACAGGTCCATTTTGGTCGGTGAAGACCCAACGGTCAACGGAGGACTTCTGAACCGCCGAGTCGGCGGAGGCTGGGACGCTGTGGATCGGACGCTGGATCGGCCGTCCGATCGGCTAGCGCGGGCTGCTGCAGAAGCCGTGGTGGAAAACATGGAGTGAGGAGTGTTGTGAAATGAGGTAGAGCTATTCTTTGTTTGAGATGCACAGGATAGGCTTGCCTTGGAACCGTCCTGACCTGCCATGCAGGTATGCCAACTCCCGCTGACCCTTGATCGATCTTGAAAACTTACGAAACTAGCTGTCCAGACACCAAAGGGTCGGGATATCACATCCCCAAAAGAGCGACCCTGTTTTTGAGCAAGAGAAGAACCACATCATGCCCCATCGGTGTGTTCACTATGGTGTCAACATGGGAGAACGTGTGGGAGAACGTGTGGTGCGTCACGTCACGTCACGTGTGGTGCGCCGAACACCGAGGCATCACAGCGATTCACAAGCACTACACCGTGGAGCAATGGAAGACGTGGGCTGAAGGCGTGGGCGTTTTCAACGATCCGATTTTCAATGGGCCGCGCACATGCTATCCAGGGAGCACCCTGTTACATGGTGATAGCATCTACCCACACGATTAGATTTGGAGAGGAGATTTCAATAAGATGTCATGTTTTTTCTCTAGATAGGTGCAAGCTATAGGGATTCTTACTTCTCAATGGTGCGGCTGGGGGGATCGCCGTTTCGTTTTGCCTTGCTGGTGCTAATGGTCCGGTGGGACTGGCGAAGCGAGGCCCTGGGAAAGAGATCCTGGGCTTCGTGGCGGTGAGCACCGGGATCCTCGACAAGGACGAACCAAAACAGACATCGACGGCCTCCACCTTACGAGCCGAGCGATGGCCTCCAACCGACTATCGATGGCCTCCAACCGACTAGCGATGGCCTCCAACGACGATCGAAGATTGGGACCGCTGTCGAAAGGCAACCAGAGCATATCGGATGGCACATCACTGGCACAGTCCCGAAGAGGAAGACAGACTCGCTAATGCCGTCCAGCATGTTTTCAGACACTGTCCATCGTGGAATGCAAACATGCAAATAGAATGGAACATGTCCATTGTGAGGTTCCAAGCTGATCTCTTGTTCAGGTCCACTCGGTTTCTGATGTCGAACTCTTTTCGCAGTCGGGAAGTCCCCCAGAGACACACCGGGCGAGTTTGAAGATGTTCCTGACCACGGTTGGGTCTTTTGTTCAGCAGCGAAAAGAGCAGTAAAAAGCGAGGACATGGAGAAGCTCGCTCAGATTCTCAAAGCCGTTGGATGCCCCAGAGCAAGAACAAAAGCGAAGTGCATGGAATGCACATGGAATGCAGGGGGCCAGAGACCAGCATGAAGAGCTTCTTCTTCCAGACTTTCTGGTAGGGAACTAGTCCAAATATGTTTGTCTTTGCAAATTCCCCCTCAGTAACACGAATTGAGATGGCCACTTCAAACACCATAAGCAGACAAGAGGACGTCCTGGCCTTTGGAGGACATGAGTTGTTTTCTCCATGTCTAAGGTCTCAACTCTGTGTTTTCGAAATCAACATCCCTTTCAGCCGGTCTTCTGAGATCTCAAGTTTGAAATTAGAAAACACTTGCAACAAATCCAATTTAATCCGCACCTTCCAAGTCCATTTTTTTTGGCACCCTGAATCACCTCTAAGAGGCTATTTATAGACACCCCGGAGAGACGGGTCCAACCTAAAGTAGTCAGCTGACCTGATGGACAAGTCGACTCCATGGTTTTTAGGCGCCCGCAGGAAGGACACCTTTTCTGGTGCGTTCGTCAGGGCATCGCTGGCCACAGACTGATGTTCACTGACGACATGGATCCTCCCAACTGCTTGTGAGTGGCGACCCCGACTGTGCCTGCTGTAGGAGTGGGGTCGTGCTTGGTTGAGATCTTGGCCACAAGATACTAGAACCATCTAGAACCGCTTACAATATCTCCCAGAGGCTCATGGACCCTCAAAGTGCTACATGTTTCAAGGCCCAGAATCCCTAGAGTTGTCAAAAACCCCAAGGGTCACGAGCGTTTGGGCTTGACTCGATGCCGTCGTTTTGCCTCTAAGTTGCTTCAAGCAAAGGCCTCAAAGAAGATGCCCCCGCCTTTGGGGCCCTTTCTTGAGCCGGTCGCTGCGAGACTCTCCAGCTGCCTTGCTGCGAGCAGCGGTTGTTCACCGCTTACCCACCGCCCACCTGGAGCGACCGCATGCTTCGACCAGGTGCCAGGTGTGAACATGATCTGCATCGACGTGGCCAACGGCTACTCCGAGGCGCGTGATGACCATCTCAATACCGCCCAAACCGATGCGGCATCACGCGCGGTTGGTCGAAGAATGTGTTTGTCTTGGTTTGGCTTGGTTCCGACTCCGAAACATGGCCACATCAAGAATATGGTTCGGTGGCTTGGGCTAACCGGCTAACCACCCAGACAGGCTTTGCGAAGAAACAAACACCGGTGCACCCTCCAACAAGATCCAACGAATTAAGTGTATGAAGAGAGTAAAGAGCGGCCTATATGGGGAAACAGTGTCTTCACGGATCTTCTAATTGTTGTTTTCTGGGTTTGGCCTGGAAGTGACTTGGATGGGTGGGCTAGATGGCGCTCTCCACAAACTCTGGACTGGGCCGTGTACTTTGAAACGACCACCTACCGGAACCTACCGGAATCCCAGCTGAAACGACCCTCCGGTCCGGAGCGCGTGCGCCCGCGCGTGCGGCCACGTCGAGGCCTTCGTGCAATGCATCAGAGAAGTGCGAAAGACCTACCCCAAGGCCAGTGGATCGGTGGATCGATGCTTTTTCTCGTCGGGTTCGATGCCACCTTCGATGTGTGTGGTACGAGAAGGTGTCGCTGTGTCAGGCCCCCCCGAGATCCCCACAGACGCTGCGAGGCTGAGGTGATGGTTCATCATGTTCATACTCGTCATGATGCCCAAAAGGAGAGTGATATTGATGCAGAGAGTCTGAGTCACTGGTGGTGAGTCCATTTGGCTCGGAAAATTGATGACCAACTTCGCGGTGTGCCGCCCTCGGAGGTGACCATCATGGCAGGGAATGTGGTGACCAAGGAGATGACGGAGGAATTGATTTTCAGCGGTGCCGACGTGATCAAGGCCGTGATCTGATCAGTCGAAACGATCATGATTTCGACTTGTGAATCCTGAAAGTCCTGATGACCTGGGCACCATGCCCACACGGCGTCCGTACTCGTGGAAAAAAAAAACTTGTGAATCCTGAAAGTCCCTCAGATGTCAAAAAGATCACATGACCCCGGCCGCCTTGAGGTGGGAATCGGCCCCGGAAGCGTGTGCACCACGCGGAAGCAGACAGGCGAGGACCCGGAACCCGGGCGAGGGTGGTGTTGCTCTGGGTGGTGTGGTGGCGAGACCTAAAGGATGTTGCTGCACGCACAGACCGTCAAAAATCTGTCAAGATGGTCCAATATGGTGCTGAAAGCACTCACAAAGGGCAGTAACACACCAGACTTCCTTATCATGCCATATCTAGGTGTTTTCTTGTGAAGGGGTCAGCACTGCTTGCCATCTCATCCCATCTTCAGGCGTCGGCTACCCACAGCTCTCTGCAGTCTTGGAATGCGCAGATGCGGCACATGGCTGTTGCCCCATCAGCGGTCTATTTGGGAATGCGTGTCGATCCATACCCGTGTTCGCAAATAACAACCCAAGGTGCGGTGATGCCAATCTTGATTGGCAGCTCTTGATGTTGAGCTTTACCTGATTGATTGCGAAGAAGTCACCAACCATGTGGAATACATACAGTCTTGTTATGTCTTGTTTGCCTTGGAGTCTTTGAGGGTGTAAGATCCAGATCAAGGGCTTTGTGAACGTGTTGGGAACTGTCCTGAGGGATCAAGCATTTGGTCTCCCCACTTGGTCCGTACTTTCGGGCTGCATTACTAGTAGCAAATAGCTACTATATCGTAGCGATGCACGTGTTACAAGCACGATGCCCCTGCTACGTTCGTAGCTTCTAGCTACTGATTGTGATTTGTTGAGGACGTGGTGGGAAGGGGGGCAAGCCCCTCTTGCCATCGCCGCTCAAACAGTTCTCCGGGGGATCCTATCAGTGACCCATGGCGGCCATTTTTTCCTGCAGAACGAAGATGGACCTCGGCCAGCAAGAGCCAAGCACGAGCCCAGCACGAGATACCGTGTTCAGATCCGTGTCGAGAATCCGACTGGGCGGTCCGAACTCTCTCAGCTGATTTGCTTCATCTTTCGCCACGACGGAGTGGGCCGACGGAGCCGGTCTTTGCGCCCAGAGCCTGAGCGGTCTCCAAGCCCGGCGATGGTCCGGAGCCTTTCGGAGTTGGACAGATGCTTGCATCCGCGGGGTCATCGCTCTCCGGATTGACGAGAACAAGGCTGAGGAGGCTTCTTTGGAGAAGGTGGGTTCGACTCAGAACACCCCGAGGCGCCTTGAAACTGCTTCTGAAGGTGCACCAGCATAGTTCTTCACCCGGTGGAAGCACTCTGTGCACGTGTTCGACTGAGCGACCACACACGTTCGCAGATCCTGGAAAACGGTGGCGAAAGCTTCGATCGAATCAAAAGAAGGTGCCGAGTCCGAAGAAGAAGATAGACCAGACACATCAGACACCAGGGAAAGAAGCCTGAGTGCATCCACCAACGGAGCGACGAAGAAGCAGTCCAGCGACAGGCAGTCCCTTCGGTGATGGTAATTTGAGGCACTTTTCATCACTTTTCTGAGCCCTCACATGTTATAAGTTACAGGGTCTTGACTTTTATGTGAGTACATCCCGTTGAAACCAACGTCGCATGCCTCATTTCCCGGACCAGCGCCAAAGGTGATGGAAGACGAGGGGGGCAGTTGCGGCGGTGTGGGCTCCATATGGGGATATGTGTTACCGAAAGAAGGGGGACGCCCCAAGTCGTGAAAGCGGAAGGATGAACCAAGACGGTCTGAAGACAAAAAGAAACCTTAAATTCACCAGTAGAGCTAGAAGCTACTAGACTAGTAGCTACTAAGTAACAAGGGCATCGCTACTAGTAACAAAGACATTGGGAACAAGAAGCTACGAACGTAGCAAAGGGCCTTACGAACGTAGCTTATCAAGTCCTTCCCCACCGACCTCATCGGAGATTCGTCGCTGAGTGGAGCCTCCGAAAGATTCCATGGCGCCATGACATTGGACAACGGACCCGCAGAAACAGCTTCACAGCACCTTTTCGGCGCCCGAAAAGGAGCGACTGCCACGTCTATCTTTGAGTATCTACCAGCATCCTCTAGCAGGTCTCCGAACTGGCTTTCGGAGGCTTAAAAGTCGCAGGTGGTGACCTGGCAGGTTTCGGGTGCTGGTATGCATTCAATCATGTCCGTACTGCACTTGGCTGAGCTGCCGGGCATATGTTGAAAGTTCCACCTGTGTACTCATTGCTGGTTCCATTCGATCCCAGCGCCCTACGCGAGTCGATATCGATGTCGCAAGAGATCTCCAGCTGACCAAGGAGGGTTTGAGTGTCTTTCTATCACGACAACATCTATATATGTGAAACATAAACACGCACTCCAGGTGTATTTTTTCATGTTTTGTTGTTATCTAGAAAAGGCACCACCGCCTTTTTGTTCCGGAGGTTTGAAACCCGCGGCCTTCAGCATCTTGCGAGTTGTCTTGAAGGATCGCCACATTTGTCTCCCAACCTACTAAGCGATGGCCTCTAACCTACTAGCCAAATAGTCTCCCTGCGTGGTTTGGACTTTTGGGGTTGTGATCTCGAGGATGTGGTGGGCAATACACACCCCTTGCAACCTTTGTCGCTCAAAGGGTTCCCCCGGTTGCAGCTAAGCGCTGTGCCATGGCTGCCGTCTTTGACTTTGTCTTGCCCAAGCTGCAAGATGGACCTCAGCCATCGGGTGAACTTCATGGACATGGATTTAGGAGACGATTGCTGTAGAACACGACCGAACGTCGAAATCATTGAGTGAACGGATACGCTGCATCGCAATCTTCATGATGCAACGTATACATAACTATACCATACTATGTTCTACTATACTGACTATACTGTATCTAAGGATATGTTCCATGAAAAACAATAGAATCTAGCTACTCTCATTCAAGTGGAAGTGCAATTCTCAAGTCGTGGTGGCCCTCAGGACAGCTATGGCTACATGTGGAGACCAAGAGAGCGTGTGTCAGGAACCTTCAAGGGTTTCTGGAGACAGCGAGCGCCAGAAGAATTGTGGAGAGCCCTCAAGCTGGGCGATCAGAACTCTCTCAGAATCTGATTTGCTTCAGGTGATGCCCATGACACCCATGTCCGTGGCTTCGCCGAAAACTTGCCGCAGCCCCTCAGAAACTGATCTGGCCTATTTGGATTTGCGCAAGAAACAAACCATGAAGCCGGCTAGAGTGGAGGCTCCAGATTTGGAGGCTCCTGGTTGCATACCAGGGTGCATCGCTCCTAGGATCGACGAGAAGGCAGAGGTTGAGGAGGTCTCTGACAAGAATGTGGGCATGAAGAGCTCCCCAATTCCTCCTGAAAGAGTTCCAGACTTCAGCATAGTTGTTCACCCAGCAGAGAGTGCACTGGGCCTGAGCGACGGGGATTTGCCGAAAAATCCTGGAACACTTGATGTGCTGAAGAACGAAGCTGGTTTGTCAGCCTCTGACAGACCAGACAGCAGGGAAAGAAGTCTGAGCGCCTCAAATGCTTCTGAGAGAAAGACGTCCAAAGGAAGGCAGACCCTCCGGCTTATTGAGATGTTTTAATATGTTTTAATGAGAATTTGTGAGTCGTCCCAAGGCAGTGAAAAACACATGGCCGGTGTGATCACCTTTCTCGCTCGGTGTGACCCGTTGACTCTAAGGACTTCTCATACCAGTAGCTACGCGGTTTCGCAGAGTTTGAAGAATAAGAGTGGCAACCTCAAATTCTGTGAAGCAGTACCTTGGCAACTTTTTGCTGCGGAAGTTCATAATATATGATGTTATCATGTTATCTCAGTTTCGATCAATGGTTTTGTGCGTATGTGCGGAGACGCAAACGGATACAACACTCAGGTTGAGCCTTCAATGCAAGTGTATTTGGAGGACCATTGTGCTGACGGACCAAGCACGATGGGCCGGCAACTGATTTTGTGGAAGATCTTGATGAGTGTTCTTTTTCTCTTGCCAATCCTCTCATTTGGTGTCCTGCTAATCCCTCTTGCTCCGGCAGAAGCTGGCTTCAGTGCGAATTGGGTCTTCAATTACATCTCGCATCCAATCCTGAACTATATCACCTCCCGTGCCTTCATTGAAACTGCCATTCGCCGTGGCTTACACCCTTCTCAGAAGCATCGTGTCAACTGGATAGCCAATTGGTTTCCACTGGTCGGTTCTGCTGCACCTCAGCCAGATATTTGCTACGTGTTACTTGAAGACAGTCGGGACTGACTCGTTTGTTTAGCATTTGGAACACACCAAGACCAAATCATGTACAAAAGTACGTTTTGTTTATTTGTTTGTCGAACATTTGGGAACACACCAAGACCATCCAAGAACAATGCATCTGAAGTTATAAAGCAGATTCCAGAGGCACACACGACCTGAGGTCTGCCTCTCTGTGCACTTGATTGGCAGCGCCTTTGACATTTTCCCAGTGCCTTTCGTTGTTTCAACTTCCTGTCTTCCGAGCATGGTCGTGGCAACCATGGTCGCGAGTGTCTTGCTCAAGTGGGGAGGGGCTGAAGGGAGAGCCAAAACACCAAGTGGAGATTGACCAAGACATTGGGAAACTGACCAGTTCCAAGCATGATCTTTCTTGTGGCGTGGCAATTCTGACAATTCGAAAATAACTTAGCATCCTGCACCTTGCTACCTACTTCCTGAAGTCAGGACTCACCCACCTTAACAAACAAAAGAAATGGATCGTGCATTGGAGCCGAGAAGTGGCCGTCCGCCTCAACGTGGTCTGTGGGATAGGTGAGGCCATACGTTCATTTGGCGCGATGGCCTAACACCCAACCGGGCCATCTACGTTTCTAAAGCGTACCTGGACGAAACCGAACATCAACCGCGTGGTCGCGTCGAACACCGGAGGCTCCTTTGTCCCGGCGGATCTGATGACAGTGGAGATGCGAAGATTCAAATGGTTTGCGTTCTTGGGATTGTTTACAATATATATCCAATTTGCAGTGCTCACGGGCTGGCTGCTGATGTTTCCGAGCTTGTCAGTGGCATTTCAGTTCATCAGCTGTTTTGCCTTGGCCTCAGCCGACACGTGCAGTCATATTCACCAAGCTACTAGCAGTCCACGTGTTGACGGGAAGCGGTTTAGTTGCCGAGATGGTGCAACGGCTGCTAGGAATGGACGCAGAGCCCTTGACGCAGAGACGTGTAGCTGGGTTGTTGTGACCTTCACACAACATGAGCAATTGGCCTGCCCATGAGATGCAGAAGACATCAGAAGACTATACAGCATAGATTAGTTGGTACAGATATGATTATATTAGATGGCAAGATATGCTAGATGGAGGAGAAGTACTTACAGTGAAGCAGGCGTTGATAGTTTTCAGATGTTTTCAGGGTGCCTCGTATCTCGTATTGAGGAGGCAGGTGTTTCCTCGTTGATACACCAAGGCCGTGAT